TTAAATAATAAATAATTGTTAAATTTTTTAATGATAATATAAAAATAATTTATTTATATTATTTGTAATTATTAATACAATAAAGAAATATGAATTCATAATATTAATTATTAGAGAATATCGATAATTTTTAAGAAAAAAAAAAAGATAGAATTGTACCATTTGTTAATGAAATAGTTTTTAAAATTGGCATTTGAGTGGATCACTATCGTGAAACATCTTGCTAATTGGATGAGTTGGGTTTTTTCAACACAATCAGCAATAAAGAACATGTTGGTAAAAAAAGCTGAGCAACTATTCCACAGATTATCAGCAACAAGAGTCTTGTTGCTGAAAGTAGGGGCTTACTATTCATGAAACTATCAGCAACATGTTGCTGAAAAGGTACGAAAATTCAATTTCCCACTTCTGCCAATGATATTTACCGACATCAACCACGTCGGTGAAAGTACTTTCACCGACATGACTGATGTTGCTAAAAAGAGTGCACCGGATGTGAGGAGAATTTCGATAACCATTTTTACCGACATGAATTATGTTGGTGATATTATGGTTTCGGCAACAATGAGCATGTTGCTAAAAATGGTGAAAATTTCCGGTGGCCGGTCTAGTGAATTTTTTAGCAACATGAACCATGTTGGTAAATCTTCATTTTCAGCAACAAGAAGTATGTTGCTGAAGAGGGTGTCAGGTATCAGCAACATGGACCTTGTTGCTGATACATTACTGAGCATTGCTTCACCAAGAAAGGCATCAGCAACATGAAGGATGTTGCTAAATTACTTTTAGCAACATGGGTAGGTAGCACTTTCACCGACGTGCTTCCATGTTGCTGAATAATGGAATTTTAGTAGTGTATATTGCAATATTGATTGTCAAAATATCATTAAATATTTATATAGAAACTACCATTAAAATGGAAATAAGGGTGTTATCAACACCCATTATCATAAAAATTAATAAAGAGAAAAAAATTGGAAACAATTAATGAAAGTTATTACCTGTAGTATAAAAGATTCTGTTTCAAAGGTTAAGTGTTGGAAGAAAGACATTGAGTTGAGAGAGTAAGAATTGAATTGCATTTATACTAAGATGGGCAGTTAAAGGTAAACAGTATTATGATCTACATTGCTGATGCCCACTTAAACTAGCATTGCAATATACATTGGTCATAATGAAATTTACTGACATGGACTGCAATGCTAAATTATATGCATTGCTGAAAAACTTTCCAAGGCTTTTAGCAAGGTGATTTATGTTGGTAATTTCCAAAAAGCATATAGCATGGTATTACACATTGCTAATACTTGGTTGCTGAAAGTTATCTCTAGTAGTGTACTTCTCAAGTACATGTAACATTATGTCAGCTAGTGACAATTAGACATTAATTTAGGACGTGAGCTAACAATATAAATATAATACTATGCCTCTGTTATTTCGGCAATTTACTTTCCTCACCATGAATTTCTAGTCCTTGATGGAAATCATAGCATATCCATCATCAATCCCTCAAATCAGCCATACCTTGTTACTAGCGATCTCTCAAAAACTTAGTTCAAGATTAAGCCTACATATTTTGATAAATAGCCTAAAGATATTTTTAGAATGACTTAAGACTATTCTAAATGACACAAATAACAAAAATGATAATAAATAAATTTAAACAATAACTATAATATATTACCTTTTTTCCCAATTCCATCAATTCAAACTACGACAAAAAGTTCTTTGCATGTTTTTCTTCTTTTTCTTCTTCATTTTTTAATGGAATAATTATCTGCACAATAAACTACACAGGTATACAAATTAGAGATTGTTAACTAATAGGATTGAAAAGAAAGGAGAGCAAGAACAGAAAAGAGGCTACCTTATGGTTTGCAGCTCTCAGGGGCAGAATTTAGTCTAAGACAAAGGAGTGTGCGTGTGAGGAAGTAAAGGAATAGCAGAGAAAGATAATTTCAACTCTGACTCCCCTTCTCAATCTCAATTCATCAGTTAGACTCATCTTTTATACTAGTACTAGTACTTGTAAGAACCTAGGTTTGTAAGGAGTAATGGAGACCATAGGATCAAATGTGAGGATTTCTGAACCCTATGATCATTTTAACTCATACTTAAATAATATAGAAAATGAATTTACCTCGTGGTCGGTTGGAAATCGTCTGGTTCTGATGATCAAGTTGCCTAAACGAAGAGGCTTTTCAGCTACTAACGTCAGAGCCATGCACTTGCAAAAGACTTTGGAGATATTTTATTATTAAAATTTATTTACATATAAATTTTATATATTATATTTATATAAAATTTTAATTATTTATATTTTAATTATTAAAATTTATTATTTTATT